TCAAAACACTCCCTCCACACTCTCAGACACCACTGATGCTTCCAGAGGGTTCAGTAATGATGAAGTTTTAGTACTGGGCCCCCAACTGGTATTTATGGTGGCTGTTGATGTGGAGGGCTTGATCTGAAGTGTGGCAGGTACCCCCCCAACAGGGTCCGAACAAACAATCCACCGGATGATTTATTTTTTTATGAAATGAAAGTCCAACAATGGCAAAGAACAATTTGGCTCTGAAGTAGGGAAAAGACAAAAGATCATTGTGAGCATTGAGTTGAAGTGATGATGAAGTGAGGATGGAACAGGTATATGATAGTGGAAATTAAAAGCAAGAGGTCACAGGAACCAAGCAAAAAGGGAAAGCATTTTTTTGCTTATGGAAATTAATTTCCAGTCAAGTGGATGGCCAAGACCAGGTAGAAGCAAACAAAGAAAGCATTTCATTGTCATTTTTAGCATTCATTCAAGGAATGGAAGGGGTAAGAATAAATCAAGAGTGACAGAAGTCTGGGGTAAATTGGTGGCAAGAGCATTTGACTGCATGTTGATGATGTGATTGCTTGCTGGTATCAAGTTGTAGGAAAATACAAGTGAACTTAGTTAAGGCTTCATTTCTATGGACCAAAGGGGTTGCATTTTAGGTGAGAAGGGAATAGGTATGCTGAGTAAGGTAGGAGAGGAACTACAGGAGGACATTGAGGAGCCCCATTGGATGGGACTTAGCAATACAAGAGGTTCTCTGAACAGGTAGGAGTCTGGCCCAAGTTGAGTAATATAATACAGATATTTGAATAAACAGGATGAGGAGAATGAAAGAAAAAAAGGCCGTGAATGACAGTAAAACTGTGGCTATGGCCAAGAGTGGAAATAGAAGATGGTTAAACAGCCAAGAGTGAATTCTAGAGAACAAGATAAGAGAGAATGAGAGCAGTCAGAAGAGTAAAACATATGGTCAAAGCCGTTTACCTTCAGTGGTTAGTAAGGCTTACTTCCTTGTGGGGAAGCCAGGGCTTCACAATGGATTTGGGCACCATGGAATGCAAGAATAATGTGGTTCAAACATAAGAGAGCATTTTTTTCTTTGTTGTTTAAGTAAATCGATGATAAAGAACACAACACACAAATAACAAAGCACAGAATGCAATAGCATTGGTGTGATGGATGTACAGTGGCAACAATGAAACTGATGCGATGCATGCATAGGTATTGCATTGTATCGGGCCTTTATCGCATCACATTGCAAGAGCAATGCGGGGCCCCGCATCACATTGCTTGCATCGGATTCTTCAATACAGTGTATCAGTATTGCATCGGCAAAGCGATGCACTATAATTTGGTGGTCAAATAATGGTGGATTTGGTTATATTTGATACCCCCTAATGAAGAGGATTTGGGCACCATGGAATTCAAGAATAATGTGGTTCAAACATAAGAGAGCATTTTGTTCTTTGTTGTTTAAGTAAATCGATGATAAAGAACACAACACACAAATAACAAAGCACAGAATGCAATAGCATTGGTGTGATGGATGTACAGTGGCAACAATGAAACTGATGCAATGCATGCATAGGTATTGCATTGTATCGGGCCTTTATCGCATCACATTGCAAGAGCAATGCGGGGCCCCGCATCACATTGCTTGCATCGGATTCTTTGATACAGTGTATCAGTATTGCATCGGCAAAGCGATGCACTATAATTTGGTGGCATCGGTTTGCATCTCTTTCCAATACGATGCCAATGCAATGCATCGCTTTTTCAATGCGATGCCGATGCAATGCATTGCTTTTTCAATGCGATACCGATACATGGCTATTTACCGCATCACATTGCATCGTTTCACCGTTGACAGTGGGTAGACAGTGAAAAGTGGCTGCTTATTTTGGATTCCAGAGCTTCAAAGCACAAACTTGAAGTCACAAGAATTGGTGAAGTGGTGCAGAATGGGTCCCAAAGAATGAATATGAAAAAATAAAAACAAAAATTCAAGTTTCAAAATTTGGGAAAATTAAAAAATAAAATCAATGTTTTTTTCAAAAGCTTTGATATTCATTTTGGGGGAGTAGGAGTGCTGAGACAAAGAAAGAATGGAGCATGGGAAGAATGATTATAAATGAAAAAATTGGAACCAACAAAGGTTTGGCCATGTTGGTTGTCCAGATTGGAGCCAAAACAGTAAATTCTAGTGCTTTACTGCAATGTGGGCTGGTGAATGCCCCACTGAACATCTGTTTCAAGCCATCTGGAAACCAATTTTCCCCAATTTTCATTTATAATCATTCTTCTAATATCCCAATCTTCCTTTCTCTCAGCACTCTCACTCCCCCAAAATGAATTTCAAAGCTTTTGAGAAAAATAAATTTTATTTTTTATTTTTCACAAATTTTGCAAATTTGTTTTCTGTTTTAATTCTTTCATATTCATTTTTTACAACCTATTCTGCACCACTTGAACAAGTCTCATGACTTCAAGTCTGTGTGTTGGAGCTCTTGAATCCAAAATAAGCGGCCACTTTTCACTGTCTACCCACTGTACAAAAGTAAAGGGGAGGGAAGTATATTTATCAGGCATCCGAAATGAATGAATCAGATTAGAACAACCAAGTCCTGGAATGATGAAATGCTGGAATTTTTTTTAGCATATTTCTTTTCATTGTTGGTGATCAATCAAGGAATGATGATTTTGAAATTTAAGATTCACTTTCACTATTCCCTAAAGTAGACAATTAGTCTGAACATCAGCTTGATACTATGGCAGAGACAACCTTTCATAGCAAATAAAATATATAAATCAGATAAAAATCTAAGTATAAAGCAAAATTATTACATAAGTAAAAGAAACAATATTACCTATGTAAATAAGATAAAAAAGGGCCTTAATAAAAAAACGCGGTTTTTCCGCGTTTTGACGCGGTTTTGGCTGCGCGCAGCACACGCGGTTTCCGCATTTAGACGCGGTTTCGTAATTAATTTTTTATGGGTTATTTTTTGAGTTTTTTTGAATTTTTAAAGTTGTTTCCTACACTATAAAAGGCGTAGAATTTAATGGTAAAAACCATTTTTCATAAAAATGAATTTTGATTATTAATTATTTTTTTCACTCATTTCTCAATTAATTGTTTGCATACATGTATGTACCTTATTTTTTATGCTTTTTTGAAATTTTAAATTTATTTCCTAGGTTTTAATATGCGTAGAATTTAATGGCGCAATCCAATTTTTTTAAAACTCAACGGTTCACTTTTAATACTCAAATTACACCCATTTTTTCACTTAATTTTTTACAGATTAATTTTCATCATTTTTTGACATTTTAAATTTATCTCCTCACACGTTTAAGACATGTAGAAAATTATGTTATCAACCATTT